CTATCTTCTTATTTTTCTATCTCTCACTGTGTTACTTTCTACTTTCTCCCTTTTGTATTCTCATACTGCATTTATTTCTCCCAATTTCTCTCTTTCCCATTTTGTGTTATGCTTTACTCTGTTCCCCTTTCTTTTCCCTCACGCTCACTTCCCTTTCACACCCATTTGCTACACTATACTAAACAAGGCTATTGTAGGCTTATCTAGCATGCCTGGAAAAAGAGTGAACTCAATCTTGCAAACATTATAGATGCCTTGATGTGACAAAGGGCAGGTGGGGCGTATAATCTTCTTGACTGGGTTGTAAAGTCTCTGGAGAGCAAGACTGACCGACATAATTATGCTGGGCCTCCACGCCTCTGAAATAAACAAAAAAAAAAATCTTCCAGGAACAACTCATACTCTCAAATACGTGGGATAGATGAACGGTTTAGTGACGCTGTGGACTGGTTTTGCGTGTTTGATTTGTGTCAATTGAAGTGGAGCGATTTCTTTCCCCGTAATAAAAAAGGGGCGTTATCAGCATGTTACGACACTGCTTCCAAACAAGGGTGTGCAGGTTTGAATTACGCCTTGTGAAGAATTTTTTTTTCCATCAAAATTTCTCCACCAAAAACAGTGTGGACATACACGAATCTAATTAGACTGTTTGAGCTAGAGTTTGCTAAGGCACTTGACAAGTCACCCCGGAAAAGAAGACACAAACCCAAAAGTTGGTGGGATGAGGAAGTTAAGAAAGCCTTAGCAAAACGTCAGGAAGCCTCTAGGGAACACAGACATGCTAAGAAGCGGGGTGAACCGACAGATGATGTTGAAAGAAAATGGGTAATCTTTCTAAGCTGTAGAAGGGATGCATTCCTTCTGATCAATGAAAAGATTAGAAGAAAGGGAGCTCAGTGGCTGGCAGAAGTACATAAAAAAGATAGAAAAGCAGCTGCAAAATTTTGGAACCATCTAAACTCTCTAAGAAATGAGACAAGCCTAGAGCAGAAATTTATAACTACAGCTCAAGGTGCTAGGCTAGAAGGGGACGAAGCTATTGAATATATAAGAACAAGGGTGACAGAAAAATTTCAACAAAGAAGTGCCTTATGCACCACAATAGACAGGGATGGATTAAGTGGCACAATGGTTCCATTTTCACAACGAGAGTGGGAAAGGGCGGAGAAGAGAGTTCCAAGTAGTACATCAACAGGCCCAGATGGCATTCCAATTATGCTGATAAAGACATTGGGTCCGAAGTCTAAACAGACTTTGAGGGAGGCAGTGAGCAGAACAATAATCGATGGTGAAGTCACCGATGGATGGAAACTTAGCAGGATAAGCATGATCTGTAAAGGAAAGGGGGACAAAGCTGACATAAATAACTACCATCCTATAACAATGACATCAGTGGTCTACAGGCTGGCGATGCAGATTATAAAGGAAACACTGCACGCATGGATAGAGGATGAGGGGGTGCTGGGGGAACTGCAGAATGGGTTTCGGAAACACACGAGGAAACACACACATCACTCTGGAACGTGCAAGGACAGCAGCCCGCACCTATGTGATCCTGAACAAAAGATCTCACTCACCGATTTACTAGTGCAGAATATCTAATAAGCGTTTTATTCTCTCTCTTAGCACATGCCCTTCCTTTCTCTTCTCCGGGAGCTCACATAGTGATCGATCTTTGTTACCACTCGGCCACATGAGCACCTCATAAGCCAAGGCAGCAGTGTAGCAGGCTTGCCGCCAACACCCTGCAGTGACAGCCTGGTAGGCGGAAGCGAAGAGGGCTCGCCGACACATCTCTTGTGTATAAATAATGGATATAGCTCATCAAAATGTATATACATAGTGCATCCAAATGTAAATTAATGAACATTGTGTATGTAATGTATATTACCATTGCACACACACACACACGAGTGCAGGAGATGCATGAGTACAGACGATTTGCGGGTTACCCGATCATCTCTAAGCAAGCTCCTCTAAAATCATTATTCCCTTTGAATACGGCAGTGATTTTTTTTTTTTTCATTTGATATGTGAGCCATTATGGCAGTACGTGTGCAAAGAGTCAGCAGCACTACCGCAACACACCCATTCATTTATTCCTGTCCTGACCGGTGCATCATATAAATTTTCATGCTTCATAGTCATGTCGACGAAAGATCATCCCACAAATATCCCGGTCTCGCATACTGTCACATACACACCAGTTTACTATTGAAGAAATGATATACCTAAGAATGTGTACAACTAACATGTACTTCGTAAATTACTTTTGGTGCACGAGCACCAATAACTACGCTTATATGCAATGATAAATAATTTACCTCATTGTTCATCTTGGTAGGAAACGTAGCAACTATTACGCAGAATACACAACACAAACGCTTAAGAGAGGTTAAAAGAGCACCATAATAAAGTGCAAAAGGGTACTAATAGTCACTTGGTGGTCCACTTTACGAGCACCAATAACTATGCTTATATGCAATGATAAATAAATTACCTCATTGTCCATCTTGGTAGGAAGCGTAGCAACTATTACACAGAACACACAACACAAACACTTAAGAGAGGTTAAAAGAGCACCATAATAAAGTGCAAAAGGGTACTAATAGTCACTTGGTGGTCCACTCTACGGAGTGTGGTATTTCGATAACACTTGCATTCTATATCGGAACAGAGATTTATTAACCCGTTTGATCGTAGAAACAGCAGAAATAACACGTGATGATTTTGAGTGTGTTAGTGCACCTTATATCTCGCTCATGCGGAAAGAACTTTGTTTTTTGGATGGTGGTTATAGATAATAATGGGTGAGTAATGTATGGCACTGCACGTGTGCTTTTTGTTGTTCTGTCTTTTATTATTGTTTTTCTTTTTCTCCTCTTTCACCCCCTTTATATACTCTGATGTTTGCAATCGACGTTTAGTTGAAGTAAGCGTTTGTGTTGTGTGTTATGTGTAATAGTTGCTGCGCTTCCTACCAAGATGAATTCATAGCAGCTGGCCCGATATAATTATTTATTGAATTACCTCATTGTATTGTGAAAGCGGCTTTAGTAGTGGATAGAGCACCACTGAATTTGCACAAGATACAAGAGAAGGTGAGCACACAAGATGAAGCTGTTTGCTGCGGCAGGGCGCACAGAGGGAAGTGGTAACGAGGGCATCCGCACCTCCTAGAGACTAGTGAGAGCACCAAATCTGCCCAATGCATTGGCATAGTGGGAGGGCCCTGGTGCTGCAATGAACCTTCGCAGCCCCCTGATGGAAAACTCTGCGAATGCCTACCTGCTGCGAGAGTGAAAAACATGTCCAGGCTCTGCACGCATCCACACACCCCAGCAGAGAAATAGCACCAACTACATTTACGTAGCTCCCATTCGACCACAATTCTTGTAATTTATTAAGTGTGATGAATAGAGACCGGATTGTAGGCAAATGTATATTTTGTTTCTTGCGTTCCTATCACGCCTATTTTGATGTATCAGCATGAATTAGAGGTTAAGAAGGGCTTTTATATTGTTTTTGTAGTGCCTATAAATGCCTATTTTTGATGTTTATGCCTAAATTCATATAAGTGCTTATAAATGCCCATTCTAAAAAACGGTGCCAATATGCACGGAATTTAAATTCAAATTTCGCTTTCAAGTACAGTTTGAGACTGGTATTCGTATTATCGGGCAAAGTTGAGCTTTTGGAACTCTATGGGGTGTAACCTGTGCTCCATCTCAGGAGTTCCTTTCAGCCCCACCGCGGTGGTCTAGTGGCTAAGGTACTCGGCTGGTGTCTCGTAGGTTGCGGCATCAAATCCCGGCTGCGGCGGCTGCATTTCGGATGGAGGCGGAGATGTTGTAGGCCCGTGTGCTCAGATTTGGGTGCACGTTAAAGAACCCCAGGTGGTCGAAATTTCCGGAGCCCTCCACTACGGCATCTCTCATAATCATATGGTGGTTTTGAGATGTTAAACCCCACAAATCAATCATGAGTTCCTTTCAGCACTGCCAAAGCTACAAGGTCTCTCGGTTAATAGGAAGGCCAATTAGGCTCTACACATGTATTCATCTGCATCTCGTCGTCTGCACGGCATCTCGATCCTCGGCGTCTGCTCGCATGCGTACGATGAACAAATGGAAAACCATAGAATATAAAAAAAAAGAAGTCTCCATGGGTTGTGTTTTCTTTGTAATTTAGTTCTTAAATGGCGCTCGGAGCCGAAGGTCACGGGACACAGATGCATCAACACGTCATGTGCACGCAAGGTTACATTAGCATAATATTCCCATGCCAGGTCGTAAGTGGCGTAGTGTCGTTTCGACGTTCTCTGTATTGCACTGCCTATTTCTGTGGCATGGATCCCTCTATGCACGAATGTTTGGAGAGGCTGGCAGGAATCACGTATTCTTACCACGATAGATATGTACAGTCGCACTGCTGCAACTGCTGTAAGGGATGATGCACCAAAATCACGCCAAGCGTTGCGAATGCTGGCAAACGGCGAGAACACCTACGCAAATGAAATGGAGGCAGCTTGGCCTCGCATCTTGCTCGATACCAAGCTAATAAAAAATAAAACACACAGATTCTGTTTGTATGTTTTAAGATTTCTGTCAACCTTCATACTTCTTTTCTGGCAACAGATTGCACAAATTACATACCTCGCCTCGAATAATTCTTGCAGTGTCCCATACTACTTTGACGTATGCAGGAACATTACCTGCTGTTTACGTCACCTCCACCATGTCTGGGCGCGCGTGCCTGAGATAAGGTCATGCGGCGTTTAGTCTGACATTTCACCTCTTTCCATGGCGCGTAGCATTGCAAGTCTTGGCAGATGACATCGTGAGCACCCAGCGCATGCGTCCCTCTTGCCTACTTGCAATTTTCAAGCATGGTGAAGGGCCCTTTAGGATGTGTTCACAGACACAAGAGACATTGACACTGTGCGATTTTACCCAGTTAATATGAGGCAAAAAAACTCTTCTGGTCTAGTGCTCTAACTATCAATCAATCAATCAGTTTATTTTAGTTTTTTTTACAGGCAAAAAAAAAATTGAGGATGGCAAGAAAAAAGCAGTCATTAACAACTGCTTGACGAGCCTCGCCACCCCTACATGTCAGCATACGCAACAACACTGTGCAATTTTAAGAAAAACAATTGTCATTATTTAGAGGAAACAAAAAAGAGCACGAATAATTGCAGGCGTTCGAAACATTTGTTCACAACCAATATGTACACATCAGAAACAGTTGTTCATACAAGCATATCACGAAATACAAGGCGAAGTAAAAACAGGATACACTGGCTAAAGTCGCAGTTAAAAAGTTTAAAAACATTAAAAGCAAGAAACAAGACGCTTTGGCTTCCGGCTTCATACAATGTAAGGCACTTTCCTTAGGAAGCAATGACAGTCAATCTCATACAAAAATGGTGTGAATACATTTAAGTTGTGAATACATGTTATACAAAAATGCACTTACACCTTATATTACAAAGGTATTGCGAAATGCAATAAATGACACGCGGGTCACGGCATCATACAATGGCCTGTTGAGATAGGTTGGAAGAATGTGCGCTAGCATACTGTAGCTATAATTTGCTCGACACCTTGGTAAGACAAATTTATTCGTTTTGCAAGTCGGGTACGGATTGTGATGATGTGTGGGCGTTACAAAACTCGAAAAAAAGGGGTCATTTCGGCTGACTGCTTTTTTAGAGAAGGCAGCAAATTTGTAGTCGAACATGCGGTCAATTTTCACAATTTTATACTGCTGGTACAAAGCAAAAGTTGGGGAATCACAGGACACATTTGCAACCGCACAAAGTAGTTTCTTCAGTAGACTTACAAGTTTTTGTATATTTGTTATCGTAGTGTTCCCCCATACTAAGAAACAGTAACTGACATGGGAATAAAAAAAGGCATATTAGAGATCCAATTTAGTTTTTGCAGGTAAAAGACCTTTGTTGTGCCACATTATCCCATTAAACCTCGAACGTGCGACACAGATTTTGCTTACGTGGGCGTTTCACGACATCGTGCCAATAAACACTACGCCAAGTGACGTAAAATTGTCAACATATTCAATGGCACTATTCTCTAAGAAAAAGCGAGGTGGGTTCAGGACATTTTTTCCTTTTGGATGAAATATTATAGCCTTAGTTTTTCCCCTATTTATTTTTAAGGAATTAAGGAAAGACCATTGTGTTAATCATGTCAATACCCTATTGGCCTCACTTGTTAGTTCAACAATATTACGGGAAGAGAGGAATATGCTGGTGTCGTCCGCATAAATGATATATTTTACGGCCTTACTGATGTTGCAAATATCATTTATATACACGTTAAAAAGCAGGGGTCCTAAAAGGCTGCCTTGGGGCACACCATTTCTAATCTTCAGGTTTTCAGAGGGACAATGGTTTAATACAACGTATTGGGAGCGGGAACTGACGTAGGATGTAATAAGTTTGAGGGCGTGCCCACGAACACCATAGTGCTTCAGTTTTTTTAATAGCATCTCATGATTCAAACAGTCAAACGCTTTACTGAAATCGACTAAAATGCCTAAGGTTAGCAACTCCGATCCAAAATTTTTTAAGATGTACTCCTTTTGGTCAAGCAATGCACGCTCAGTAGACCTGTTTCTGGCGAAGCCATATTGGCAATCAACCATTAAAGAGTATTTTAAAAGGAAGTTATATAACCGTCGATGAATTAAGCGTTCGAACCCCTTCGACAAAAATGGGAGCACAGATATTGGCCTATAATTTCCAGGTACATTTTTGTCGTCTTTTTTGTAAATTACCGCTACTCTGGCACGTTGCATTCCAACCGGAAATTGTCCCAACATGAGTACTAAGTTATACATGTGCAGAAGACAAGGCACAATTAAAGACAGCATGTACTTTATCGGCCGGCTTTGAACATTACATGAATCAAGGCTTTGGGTATCTTTCAGACTACTGCACACCGAAAAAACCTCGACTTCATCGGTAGATTAAAAATACAGAGATGGTCCCACCCTGTCGCCCAGAAAACGGTAAAAACCAGAGTTGTAATTACTGTCGCCAACTTCACAGAAAAATTTATTGAAAACATTGGCGAGACAGGAACCTGTCAGTTCCCTGCCGTCAATGTTACGACTTTTGATTTGCTGGGAGACTGTGTTTCTGTTTAGAAGTGCTGCTAGCCTCTTCCATTTTTCTTTTGGGTTGCAAGCGAGGTTTTTATCAAACAGGTAGGCAACCTTCGATACCCGAATTTCTCTGTTTAGCTGGTTTCGCAAAGACTTGTATCGAGCTAAAACCTGGGGTTCTTTACTCTTCAGGAATTTAGCGAACAGTTTGTTTTTCTTTTTTACTTGTCGAATAGGGCGAGCAGTCACCTATGGTTTACGAGCATTTTTAGCGGGCAAGATATTGACAATCACAAAACATTCATGATAGATAGGGAGAAAAAGTTGTAGAAATTCGTCATAGGCATCGTCAGCTGTGGCTTCCTGAAAAACAATTGAGCAGTTGACTAGTGCAATGTGATTTTTAAATTGCTGAAGACGTTTCTCCGAAATTAGCTGTCGACATGCTTTTAATATGTGTTCGGGGCTAGATTCCTTTTCAATAAGAGCAACGATAGGCAGGTGGTCGCTAATATCTACTGCAGTACGACCGGCGTGAAACATGTTTTCATCGATTGTTAGAATTAAGTCCAGGCTAGTAGAAGTACTAACGGTGACACGTGTGGGGCCCCAGATAATATTACAAAAACTTGCCAACTGTAGAGTGATCATTCAATATAGTCATGAAGGGCTTATCGGAGAGGCTCAGATCCCTGCCCAATATAGGCCACTCGCTTTACGCGGACGATAACACGATCTGGTGCCCGGAAGATCACTCACAGAAGTAGAAAACGTGCTGCGATCAGCCCTAGACGAAACGGAGTCCTACCTAGAAGGCACAGGCCTCCAACTCTCTCCAAACAAATCAGAACTGTTTCTGTACAGGCTGGCCAGGCAAGGCGTTAGGAGACTTCCACACCTGGACCAAATTTCCATTTCCTTTTTTGCAAGAAATGGACAGCGCATTTCACAAGTAGATTCAATCAAAATCCTAGGACTACTGATTGACGCGAGAGGGTGTAACACTAAAACCCTGACGAAAATCACGGCCAAAATCGAAAGCATGCTAAGACTTGTTGCTAGAGTATCAGGATGCAGAAAGGGACTCAGTGAAGCCAACCTACTTCAGATCCATCATGCCTTCCTAATGAGCCACATTAATTATGTAGCATTGGCCCTTACCTGGACTAGAACAGAAAAAAATAAGCTAGACACTCTCATCTGTAAGAGCATCAAAACGGTACTGGGGTCACCAGTAACCACATGCTCTGACAAATTAAGACAACTCGGTATGCACGAGATTTATGAAGTGATCGAAGCGCAGGTCACCACCCAGGTGGTCAGGCTCTCGTCAACCAGGGCAGGAAGACGCATCCTGGACGAGGCTGGCATGGCTCCCAGAATGCTTGCTGAACAGGAAATTACCTTATCCCTGGAGGCCCGGAAAACTTTTCTGGTCAGTCCATTCCCTCGAAATATGCACCCGCAATACAATGTAGGGAGGCGAAAAGCACGAGCACGGGCGATATTACAGAACGCCGCCGAGAATCGACTGTCTTCGTTGACGCGGCTCAGTACGGCAAGTCTAGCACATTCGTGCTGGCAGTCATTGACGGCAACAGGGAATTACGCTCCTCAGCCTTGGTCAGGTTAGCTACGAGCGCAGTTGCAGAACAGGTCGCCATAGCCTTGGGCATGACCGGTCGCTCACACACCATTGTGTTAACAGACTCACGAGCGGCCATTAAAGCTTTTGAGTCGAGTAACCTAGCACGAGAGGCTGCCTCTATTCTAGAAAAAAGAACAGACCCTGGCACTCACTTAATCTCTTGGTTTACCGCCCATATGGGTGCGGACGTTCATCAGCACGTACCTAACCTCAATGAGCTTGCCCATGACCGTGCGCGAGATATAACGCGCCGCGGCGGCATGGAGGCCTTATGGGGTCATGATGAAATCCAGTATAACGATCCACTCCTTACGTTTAATGAAATCACATCTCACTATCGGCTAAGTAGAAGGGCCTACCCTCTTCCTCACCCCGAACTTAGATAGGTATCAGTCAATTACACTTAGAATGCTCCAGACGGGCTCGTTCCCCTCGCGGGGCCTTCTCAGTCGTATCTCCACAGATGTTGACTCAAGTTGTCCGGAATGTAATGAAACTTATCGTTCCTTAGCGCACATGCTTTGGCAATGCCCCGTGTTACCTAACGGCCCTCTATCTAGCGAAGCCGACTGGGAAGAGGCACTCCGCAGCCAATCGCTCCAGGCACAAATCCAGGCAATCCAGAGGGCCCAAGAAAGGGCGGAACATTAAGGTGTCCCAACCCCGACCTGGACTCGGCCAGCGGGTTCCGTGGGTCCCCGATAGGGTTTCCCGCGAAAGCTCCTCAGGATGAAATAAAGTTTATTGTCTGTCTGTAGAGTAATTAGCAATTCTTCTTGCGCGGGACTGCTTGGACTCATGTCTACATTAATGTCGCCGCCTATATATGTTGAAAAATGTTCAGAAAGAAAGGCCAATCCATGCTCAAAACGGTGAGAAAACATGCCTAAGTTGCCTTGAGGAGGACGGTAAACGACACAAAAAGCTAGGATGTCGGAACTAATTGTCAGCATTTCAATGTTTGTATCACTGAAACAGCGCTCAGATAACATGACAGGAGTACGTATTTTGGACAAACAACACAACACCTCCACCGCACTTTGTAGGGCGATTAAGAAAAAATGAGTCATAGTCAGGAAGTGGATTACGATGATATCTGAACAATACCATGTTTCTGATAAGAGAACAAGATCGAAGGAACAGGTAAAGCCATATAAAAGGGACTGTAGCTGGTCTCTCTTGTTCACAGCTGATTGCATGTTGATATGTATAATCTGCAAGCACGGACTGTGGTTTTGAGATAAAAATTCGTTGAACTTGGTGGGTGTGATTTGCTCGTGTGTTGCCTTTCTTAGCCATGCTGAAAATAGAGACTCAGGAGTGTGTTCATTCAAAGATGGACAATTAGGTCACCTGCTCGACCAGAATAGGAGAGACCGTATTCCGCAAACTCTGCCGATAACGAAATTGCATGGCTACGCTGACCTGTTGCTGCCATTGTACCATAATAAACAAACATTTCTGTTTGCTTTACTGTTGTAGACGCAGATCATGAATGTACTCTGAAAACTTGAATTTCTCTAAAAATTATTGAGCCTATTTTCACGAGTTTGGAGGTCTAAAGAAGTGCTTTGTCCGCTTATATTTGGCACCTAGAGCCCGGTTTTTAGTGCCTTTAAATACAGCCTCTAGTGATAAAAAAACAAACAGAATCAATCAAGTGACAAGTGTTTCAATGTTCAATTGTCACAAAGAAATGCTTGTATGCAGGAAGACAAATAAGACAGCTGAACCATAATAATAAAACGCAACAAAAAGTAGCTCCACGAAAGCTCACACATAGAGTGTGCAGATGCAACAACATAGGTTAATATGAAACGGCAATGTATCGTTCCAAAGCAACACCTACAGTTATGCAGCAGTAACACAGACTGAACCAAAACTAACAAAATCGCAGTCCTTACTAATGAAAATTTAGTAGCAGTACACAGTCAGCTGTTTAGAAAATACAAAAACGACGTGACATTCATTTCTCCCGAAAATGGTCATGTTTTTGATACAATATTGTTCATGTCATTGTACAAAATAAGGTTTGTAGCAGTTATTATCACTCTATATTGTGGTTGTACGTGAGGCGACACACTGCGTACAAACCGGCGCAGCCAGCGTGACTCAGCTGCATGATGGAACGCGCATCTGATAACGGACAGCGCCACCACTCTTCCACAGGAGGCTGACATCACGACAGGTGACTATATAACCCAAGCTACCAAACTTGGTTTAATGCTTGTTTCTCTAATCATTCGAGCACAGCATCGGCATTCTTGCCCTGCTGTTGCTTTTACGTTAATAAACATCATTACGCCACTCACTCAGAAACAGGGCAATCAGTAGCACACACTTCCACTGGCTCAATCATTTTCAATTAACTAGTGTCTTGTACTCTGATTTTATATAAAAAATGCTCAGGTAACATCACTTGATCACTTCAAACACAGGCCAAGAACAACATTATTACGTATCAATCATATCATCATCATTGAATATTATCATCATAGTATTCGTGGTACGTCTTCCTTTGTACGGGTAAGTAGATTGCACATAAGTATTGCCGGTCACAAAGCACAGCTACGGAAGCTCATTAGCACAAATGCACAAGTTTTCATAGTGTTAATAACATAATGATTATTAAACTTGTCAATCAAGAACACCATAAATAACTATCACGACTGTAATCAAAACAAGTAACACTTCACTATAGTGCACACGACAGCTCTAGGGACAATGATGAAGCAATGGCACTACTACTACATCCACAGCTATACTGCTACTCCTTGCCTATGCAAAAAAAAAAGTTCAGAAGGCAGAACTTGCACTGAAATCATCATTCACATTCATAGTGACACATGAGTTCGTTGAGGCTGTCTTGACTGAGGGCATGAAGGCCACGCAGGTGGTGTTGCAGTGAGAAGCTATCCTTGAAGCTGGAAGGGCATATGATGCATTTGTACGGTCGCTCGCCCGTATGGGTGAGCAGGTGGTTATTTAATGTGCGCTTTACCGAGAAGCTCCGGGGGCACAGGTTGCACTTATACGGCCGCTCACCCGTGTGGGTGCGCCGGTGGTTGTGCAGTGTGCTCATAAGCGAGAAGCTTTGGGGACAAAAGTCACACTTATACGGACGCTCGCCTGTGTGGATGCGCATATGCTTCGTTAGAGTGCTGTTTACCGAGAAGCTCTTGGTGCAGAACTGGCACTTGAATGGTCGCTCGCCAGTATGAACTCTCAGGTGTACCTTCATAGTGCTCGGCTGATCACTTACGTAGCCACAGACGTTGCAGCGGTAGAGATTTCCCTCACGTAGCGTCTCCACATCTGCGGCTACTGGAATGCTGGAAGGCCGCGATGCTGGGCAAGAGAAAGAAGACAGGTTACTGAAGGACGGCTCTTCATTTTCAGAATGCTGGGCAAGAGAAAGAAGACAGGTTACTGAAGGACGGCTCTTCATTTTCAAACGTAGTGAACTAAGATTCTAATTACACGGCAACCTGGCTCCATGGCAATGCATCATGCTACAGTGGGAAAATCTTTGAAAACCAGCTGAGCTTCTTAATTCTGTACAGGAGTGTACAACTCAAGTAAAGCAGTATTTTTGCATTTTACTAGTAATGAACAGCACCCACTTGCCACTGTAGCCCTAATTAGGAAATCACAATGAAGTGAAATCTAAATACTGCTGAATCAGACTCATTCAATTAAGAGGCTTTGAGGACATTGAAAAGACAGACCAGTGCCGCTCAACATTCTGCATTTGCTCGATATGCACATAAGAGATTGCTAAAGGTTCAAGTTGGTGAAGTGCATTCTCATATTTGCACAAAATATACATTTCACAATCTCTTGAAATATACTGTCCTCCCAAGGCAGCTTAATATTGATGACACGTTTTTATGTATATACTCAAACCTCATTACAACAGTCACACCTGCCACGAAAATACTTTGTTATATCGTTATATTCATTATAAACACATATTTGCAGCATTGCATATATGACAGAGCTACTCAACATTTACTTTGTTATAACCGATAATTCGTTATATCCAGGTTCATTACATTGAGTGTACATATAGTAATAATGTCTGGCAAGAGCACATGATTATGAGGCACGCCACAGTGGAGGGCTCTGGGAATTCCAACCATGTGGTGTACTTTAACATGCACTGAGATAGCACTGCACAGGGGCCTCAAGCTTTTTGTTTCCATTGAAATGCGACTGCCTCGGCCGGGATCGACCCTGTGACCTTTGGATCAGCACCCAAACATTGTGACCACGGTACGTGGTACGACCCACATAAATTCATTCTATATAGCATCATCGTCATCAGCCCGACTTTTCCCACAGCAGGGCAAAGTCCTCTCCCATGTTCTGCCAGTCGACTCGGTCCTGTGCTTGCTGCTGCCAATTTATACCTGCAAACTTCCTAATCTCATTGCTCACCTAATTTTCTACCCTTCAACCACTTGTCTTCTCTTAGAATCCAGTCTGTGATCCTCAATGACCAGCGGTTATCCTGCCTACATTTTCAGTGTCTGGCCCATGTCCATTTCTTTTTCTTAATTTGAACTATGATATCCTTAACCCCAGTTTGTCCTCTGACCCATTCTGCGTTCTTCGTGTCTCTTAAGGTTACACCTATCATTTTCTTTTCCATTGCTCACTGCGTCATTTTCAGCTTAAGTTGAACCCTCTTTGTAAACCTCCAGGTTACTGCTGCGTAGGAAAGTACCACTAAGATGAAGTTGTTATATACCTTCCTCTTGAGGGATACTGGCAATCTACCATTCATGATTTGAGAATGCTTACAGAATGTGCTCCACCCCATTCCTATTTTTCTAGTTACTTCAATCTCGCGGTTCGGCTTCGCGGTTACTACATGACCTAAGTATACGTACTCTTTTACAACATTAAGTGCACTGCTACCTATCTGAAAGCACTGTTCTCTTGCCAGGCTATTGTACATAAATTTTGTTTTGTGCAGATTAATTTTAATTTTAAGACCTATCTTTCTGCTCTCCTTGTCTAATTAAAAAAATCATGAATTGCAATTCTTTCCCCAAGTTACTCAGCTGTGCAGCTCCATTAACTCGTATTCCTAACTTTTCCCACTTTAGGCCTCTGAAAACCTGCAGCAAGCATGCTATAAATAGCACTGGGGAGATCGCATCCCCCTGTCTTACACCCTTCTTTATTGGTATTCTGCCGGTTTCTTTATGGAGCTCTACGAATAGAGCATTTAATGTATAAACATGCCTTTAAGAACATACACTGCAGAAGAAATACTACCTAGGTGAACATAAAATAAAACAATAGGAGTACATCTTGCCATTATTTATTTAGTGTTAATTCAGAACGTGCAAAGGACAGGAAATTTTGAAGGTCAGAATATTAATAGCAGTCTAGGAAAAAAATCACTTTTATAAAAAATACATATGAAATAAAATGACCAAAACATCAATGAAAACATGGCATTTCCTCCTCAAAGGTGGAGGAACATCAGCCTGCAAAAATGGATGCACACTCTAGACCAATGTGATAGGTAAGAAAGTCAGAGAATTCAATAACCAATATACAGATGAGAATATTTCCCTAGGCGTGGAGGCAATCAGCGGTCATATGATGGCCATCTGGATAGGTCTTCTACTGCCTTAAGATGTACACGAACATAGAGGAAAGAAAAACATGGCCATATAAAAAAGGTCAAACAATATTAAGCACAAAGCAAACCACTACAAAGATGAGTAGCGAACATACAAAACAACTGTAAGATGCAGCAATGTGCTCAATGAAACACCACATATCCGGCAAAATGTAAACGGCAGGAGCTCATGATGCAATATTTTCCGTCCAATATTGACCTCTACGTCCTTTGACATTTTGTAAACTGTACCTAAGGGGAGGAAGAGAGGAACAATGTATTAGAGACAGCGAAACAGAATTGCACAAAGTATCATCAAACCTACAAATGCATGTTTAATTGGTGTTGCAGTTTGACAAAGTTATATAATCACAACTAGGTTATATGCAGAAAAACAAAAGGCTTTAGTTTCTTTGTATGTAATATTACAGCAATTTGCTTGGTGTATGGGCCCAGTGAACAATAGACCTTTACAAGTTCATTCCAACAGCATGAACAGGTCTTGGACAAAAATAGGAATAACAGCTGTTTCCCGAGCCAGAAAATGGTCATCTGAAACAGTTCAGATGACCGAAGTTCAAACAGTTCAAAGCATGCAGTACAAAAAAAAAGCATAGCATCTTGCAATCAGTGGATTATGTCACCAAAACATCTCGAGTTAGAATTCTTATGGATGAACATTGGGCTACTGCGACATGCAAACTTGGCTAACCTCAGCAAACATTTCTTGTCAACAATTGTATCTATGTTTTTTAGCTGAATAACTCCCAGGAATCCCCAAGAGTGTATGTGAGCCCTCAAAAAGACATTACCTGCATTGCTGTACAAAAAAAAAAGTCTATTTTCTTAGCTATTGGTGAACGAAAAAAATTACCAACAGTCATAACGCACTATGTCAACAACCAATCTCTCCTTGATCGCAAACAGTGTGATGTCACTGCGAGTGCCCCACGCACAAGCCACACCCTCGGAGCTGGCACTGGCTGGCAAAAAAAGTTCCACAGCAGGATCTTTCTGCCTGTCAGCACTGCACGTGTCTACATTTCTTTGGTAGAAGCTTCTGGAAATGGCCATTTTCTAAAGTCATGGCTTTTAAAAGGAACAGTTATTGCCTGCAATACATGACTCTGTTAGGCCAACACATGGTGATTTGTTCATTGTAGATGACAACCATGAAAAAATCTCGCACTCTTTGAAAGCTAACATTGTATGTTTTTGTGATAAATGATGTCTGGAGAAATATTTGCATGGTATGAATGTAGAATTTTTAAATCTACATTGAGACGTCCACACTGTTAGTTTTAAATGTTGTACGGCATTGGCGGCAACAAAGTTTTAAGAAGCTGTGTGCATTACAGATAACATTATCAGTCACAGAGTAAAATTCCCAATGGAGACGAATTAAAAAGAAACTAGGAAAGAATAGTTGCAGTGCATTTGGTTGAGGTTGGTGAATCTCTATGAAAATTAAAATGAAGTTCTCCTCTACAGCATTCCTCATCCCCGAGTAAGAAATTTGGTAATGTTAAACATCATAACTTAATAATACACATAATCTTTTGTGCACTTACTTGGCTGCATTTCATGTCTACAAGCTTGCATACTTACCTTCTTCTTCAGATTTCACACACAAACTTGGAATGTGTCACTTTATGAAGAACAAGCTGTAAAGGTAAGCGAAATAAAACATGACAAACAAGATCCTCCAGCGTTTCCTTTAAGGGGCCAGTAAACAATCCCGAGGTCCGAAAATTGTAATGAAGAGAAATATGTGCACTTTTGCTATGTGAACATGCTGCCCCAAGAATGTTGCAAATATGTTCTATAACAAGGAAGTTACAAGGGTTAAAAACATTTGTTTCAGCTGAAAATACTTGTGCGGCCTCGCCAGCTTACTCTGCCATGGGGAGAGGAAGGCATAACCCGTTGTCATGACTAGAGAGCAGATTATAGGCAAATGCCTATTTTGTTCCTTGCGTTCCTATTATGCCACTTTGATATATAAGCATGAATTAGAGGTTAAGAAGGGCTGTTATGGTGTTTTTATAGTGCCTATATATGCCTATTTTGGGTGTTCGTGCCTAAATGCCTATAAGTGCCTGTAAATGCGTATTTTCCAAAAGAGCGCATATATGAGCGCTATTCAAGCCCAAATTTTATTTTCAAGCATGTTGTGAAACTGTTATTCATGTAAAAAAGGCAGCATTGAGCGATTGGAGGAGGAGCATGGGGAGTGCAAAAGATGCTATTTTTGCAGCCCTATGTAGAAGAATGTCTCAGCGTCTGCAGGGGAAAGAGAGAAAATTAAAGATGGCGTAATAAAATAAAAGTGACATCTATGGCTGAGGACGTGGCGGCCACCTTCTACAAATAGTTGTCCAGTGCAGCTGAAAGAACTGAAAACCTGGGTGTTGCAGTGGGAAAGGAAGAGCAGGTTTTTCTGGGCAGCCGCAGGTATGGAGAACGAATGAAAAACCATGGAGGACCACTTATAGAATGCTCTTGTGAATTCAGTGGTGGTGAAGATCACCAAATCATTATACTTTACAAAGCGAAGCCTGAGACAGGCGCCGGCACGTTTACAATCTACGGTGTACTTAGCATACATTCACCACATGCTTGTTCTGTATATCTCTTCTCATATGTATTTAAGTGACAAACATTTAAAAAATACAGAACAGCGCTTCAAGGTTTGTCCTAAGCCATTACTCAAAAATAAGAGCTGTAACAATATAAAAAATTAACTAGGTTAATTATTACATCAAATTAAACTGCAGGTTAAAGCTCCTATGTCAAGCATTTCATGCTAAACTCACATTCGAAAATGAATGTACCTAAACAGTCTTCTTCGTGAAATGGTAATTAAACTTTTAGAATGTCGTATTAGATATAAGTTTTTAATTCATTTTTTATTAGTTTTATGACAGAATGAAATGGCTTATATAGAGAACAAAATGTGTCGTGTTAATGAAGGTGTGGTTTTTCTGACATTGTAACCCATCTGCTTCAGCACCTTCAGGTAAAAAATGTAATGTGTACGTGGCTTTTGTTTTGTTTGTAATTTACCTTTTAAGCATCTCTCTTTAGGTGACATATAAGTTGTAGTTAGACACTAGATGTTCTTGCGTGCCCAATGAAAAGCATTCTATCATGATGATTTTTCTAATTGGTTCGCTACGAGCCACCAAAGCATGATGTGAAGAAGCAAACTTGAATCCCTTGCCTCTCGTCCCATGTAGTCATCGTGAGCCTTATTACTTCCCCGTTTTTTTCGGTATCGGGGCTGGAGAATCACATGACGCATACGCACTAAGAACAACATGTGTAAGCAAGGTCACGCATGCATGACATGCCCCAGCCTACTCATGCACGCGCCTTCGATGTGTTGATTCGGCGCTCTCTGTTGTGTATTACCAGTTTCTGTGGGATAAATCAGTCAGTGCGTGTACTTTAGGAGAGGCTGGCAAGGATCATGTATTGTGACTGCGATATATCACCTCACTCCACTGAAACTGCAGTCAGAGACGACGCACCAATCACATGCTAAGCATTTTCAGGGTTGGTGAAGGCACGTTGCAGGAACGAAGAGAAGACGAACGCAAGCTAAATGGGGTGTTAGTAGTAGTAGTAGTAGTAGTAGTAGTAGTAGTAGTAGTAGTAGTAGTAGTAGTAGTAGTAGTAGTAGCAGCAGTGTTAGTATGTGTGGTTTTAGATAAAATAAAAAAAAACACGATATGAATATGAGGGACGCCGCAGTGGAGGTCTCCACAGATTTTGACAACTGGTGTTTTTTAACGTGCACTGACATTGCACAGCACATGGGCACCTACTTTTTCGCATCCATCTAGATGTGACCGCCGCAGGCACAATCGAACTCACGGCATTCGGGTCAGCAGTAAAGCACCCTATTGCAGCCTGGTCCACCAAGGCGAGCGCTAAACGACGCAGCTAAACGAGGGCCGATTAGTGAATAGCATCTCGAGGTTATTCAAAACAAAAACAAAAATAATAAACTGAGATTCTGTTTGCATGTGTTATTATTTTTCTCAGCGTTCAATCATTATAACATTATACAGGTTTTGAAAGGGCAGCACAAAAACACAGAAAAAAGAAAGACAAGGAGACAAAGAGTGCTGTTTTTCTTTTCCCTTTGTCTTTGCGCTTCCCTTTCAAATTGATATGAAGCAGCTAGCCCAAATCAAAGTGCTCCTTATTCTAGCTACACAACAGAAGACACAAGTGCGCATGTCAAGTAGAATAATGTCACGTGCAATACTCTTAATGAGGTACCGTTTAAAATGCATGATGTAATCAGGAGACTGAACCTTTTTTGTCTGTTTTTATAGATACAGCTAGCATTTAACGAAGTTCTGATGAAGAGCGTACAGTATGCGACGTCAGCCCACCAATGTCAACGTAGAGGAGCGACGTAAAACAGGACTATTGCTTGCTGTACGTAACTCCTTAGATCTTGGGGCACACTCCCGTGAGAAGGACAAGTGGTATTCATTAGAAATCGAGCGTTTTTCTACGACATGTAATTTTACAAATCTTAACAAGAATGGTCCGAAGTGTCCAGTGCACTAATACGCTTGTCAGCTCGAAATGCTCAAACTTAATGAAGGGCCCTTTAAGGTGTCCACCAATAGGGGAGAAATTAGTCCTACGCGATTAGACGTGGCATGCCTCTCTTCTGGGGTATCAGTGGTCTGGTTATTTGCTCCTGCGTTGCCATTCCCAGTCACAACGAAACGAAACAGACCCACGAGAGTGTTAATCGAATGGTGGACACTTGACGCACAATGCTATACAATAAAACAAAAGCACACATACTACGAATCGCGCGGGAAGTGCACGCCTATGTTCAATTGTTGGTACCTTTCTGCTTTCTAAAACATATTATTTTCTTTTGCTTCTTGCCATAGATACAAGTCACTGACATCGGTGTTTTGGGATATTTCAATTTTTGTAAGAATTTATTGTGCCTATAATTATGGTTTTGAAGGGTCTAAAATGGTGTTTTACCTGCCTGTCTGTGGTGCCTAAAACACACTTTTTTAGTGCCTAAGAATCCGGCCTCTAGTCATGACTATGTCCACTTCGGCAATGTGAAACAATGTCACCGCAAAGCCAATGACCGAGCAGTCATAACACGTGCACAAGTCATAAGAGCACGGGGAAGAAGTGCGGTATGAGGAGCATCCTTCTTCCTAGTGCCGAAGTAGCGAGATGCCTCTTTGAGACTTTCATTCCAGTGTAGCAACGTGACAGCATCCAACGTGGACGAGCCATGGTCGCTCCACAAAACAGCAGACTGCAGCAGAAGAAAACGGAAATGCAAACTGCACTGCCAAAATTGCATCAGCCCTGGGGCAAAGGACCAGTCGATGAGCTCAGTGGTACATCAAGTTGCCTATGGGGAAGTCTCCATCACTGCGCGTACCAAAGGGATCGGTCAGGCGTGGGAAGTGTTTTTTGAAATGGAAATTTTGTGTAGGGTGCAGCACTGCGGTATTCGGAAAATGCGATCGCCGCGGTCTATTTCAGTACTTAGCTATGGAGCAGAAACCTGGAGACTTACAAAGAGGGTTCAGCTTAAATTGAAGACGACGCAGCGAGCAATGAAAAGAAAAATGGCAGGTGTAACCTTAAGGGACGAGAGAGCAGAGTGGATCAGGGAACAAACAGGGGTTAAGGATACGTGTTTGAAATCAAGAAGAGGAAATGGACATGGGCCGGGTATGTAGCACATAGACAAGATAATCGCTGGTCATTAAGGGTAACTAACTGAATTCCCAGAGAAGGCAAGCGGGTTAGGGGGAGACAGAAGATTAGGTGGGCAGATGAGATTAAGAAGATTGCGGGTATAAATTGACCGCAGCAAGCACAGGACCGAGTTGACTGGGGGAACATGGGAGAGGCCTTTGTCTTGCAGTGGACATAGTCAGGCTGACGACGATGATGATGATGACTACTAAAGTGAGACTGTGGATGCACTGAGCAATTTTTCATGCTTGCGAGTGTAGTGTTTGATGTGGGAATCATTCAAATGGGAAACATTACAAGCTAAGAGCCCATTGTGTACCAGATGCAGATTTGTGATGGTATTCCCCGATCCAGGCCAGTTTTATCATGGATAAGTGAACATGATCAATTATATATGAAAAGTTACCAATGCAATCAGAAAAATTAATGTAATTTGAGAAACGAGAATTTTATGTGTGCATACTTTATGTTTAGACTAAATGAAGCACTTGCACATACACAGACACACACAAAAAAGAGCTAAAATCGTCGGTATTGAGTTGCGAGTTTGCGAAAAGAAAGCAGTACATATATATCTACTGGAAAGAAAGGTAAGTACATATTTATAACTTCTGTCATATGACCAGCTTGCTACTGAAACAGCAAAGAAATGAAAGTAATATACATGGGGCTAAAGAAACACACGGGACTCAAGTCGAGACCCTCAGAGTGCTGATGTGCATACTACTTACCTGGCGCAAGGCACATGTCAATTTCAGCTTTCTTGCTCATGTCTACAACACCATTCATGGCGATTCTTTCATTCCATCATTTTTCCTTGCACAGCAGAGACAGAACTGAGGCAACAACACCACTGAGCAAATATATTTTCTAACAAAGCAGCCTCGACCACAGACTTCTAGAACCTAGACTTTTTGTTTCCATTCAACACTCCCACGCCTTTCTTTTCTTTCGTATTTACCTTTTCCTTTATTCACGTGCCACATAACTAAGGCGTGAGATTATCACAGTAATTTTTGTAAGCTTTGCAATAATGCTCAGGGACCTTTGCTGGTATGCGGAGGGGCGAATGCACTTAGAGAAAAAAAATATATTCGTCAGACACTTTTCGGTATGAAAATATCCTTGCAGGTAAGCGAATTGATACAGACGTTTCGAAGTGTCAGCTTTTTCTGTCAGGCTGTCCAAAAGCTATTGCTTCTTCCCGTTGTGGACAGCATCACAGAACACGCTTGGGACAATCTAATGAGCCCCTAGAACATATCGAGCGTGATTACAAAGCCAGGGAAGACATGGGACGAGACCAACGAAGACGACAGCTGGTCTCGTTGTCCCGTTTGCACTGCGATCACTCTTGTAATGCAATACCAACTAGCCCGTATTGACACTTTGCCTCTAGAACAGCTCTTTTTATACAGAAATACCATTATTGAGACATCTGGGTTGGCCGCACTGCACCTGGTTGTTTAGAGCATGTTGACATTGGGAGCATCACATAGGCGTTGATCACACTCGCTGCAGATAGCGTTCATAAACGCTACCAAATCGCGTCACGCACCGATAAGCTTCTTGCGAGACCACTCCTCTTTTGCACTTCCTACACCTACGAAAATAATTCAAGAGGCTGCGGGAGAAGCTGGAAGACGATGGTAGACGAGTCCCGCCCGATCCTCTCGCCAAGCCTCGCACTTCGCGCTGGTGGTTTCCCACTGCTCTTCTTGATCGTGAACCCATCAACTGTGGAAGCTCTCTTTTCGGTCCATTTGCGGGAGCCCGCCAATAACGCATCGCGAACGAGGAGACACAAAATGGCTAGAATCAGAATAAGTCGTAACGTGACCTCATTGTCTCACCAAATAACAAATCTCATTACAGCAAAACTAAAGCAAGTTGTAGGAGCGTCACAATGAGTCAGTTAATAGTAGGTAACGATTTTTATTATAATAATATTTCTTTTTGACCATGCCTTAGTTTTTTTTATGCAATTTTTAAACACTAGGGCGCAGAGCGTTTCAAGCGCGATATTTGAAGCAGTTGATTGGTTTTCAAAGGTAGAACACGAGTGTAACTTCACGTTGGTAGTGGCCGATGGTAGCAGTGATTTAGGTAGTATTGGCGCTATTGCTGCGGCACATAAGAAAGCGCGGAGCAGTATCGTCCTCCCTAATGAGAGAGAAAAATAACCGTTGCCCTTGCACCTCGGGCGCGCGGAGATGGTTGAGCAGCAGCGGAACTTTCCCCGCTGCCGCAGAGAAAGAGCGGGACAATAAAATGAAATACCTGCAAGTGTTATTGTTCTCATGCACACTAGCAAGCGACAGAGAGTCGCCGGCGAAGCGAAGCAGCGCGCCTTCCAGCAGCGGATTCGCAGGAAAAGGACTATTCTACCGTCTATATGCGGCGTAGTTGCGTAGGCGTAGTCTCTAGCGTAAACACATAGTTCCGTATTCTGTACCGCACATACCGTGTTTCAGCGCCCAAACCTCGCATATACTGCTGTCTGCCGGATGCCAACGATCGCGTTTAACTTGCGCCTCCTTTTTTATTATTTTTTCCCCTCGGTATTACAATGAAACATTGGCTTAAATCATGGGAGGGTCAGGAGGGATCCGTATTTCCCTCGTGTTCAGTTGAGGGGAGGGGGGAAATCCCTTAACATTGGCTTAAACAATGGGGGGCGTCAGGAGGGGTTCGTACATTCCTTGTGTTCTGTTGGGTGGCACACCTCTTGCAATAAAATGTCCCCTCTTGAGATTGGTTTTAAACCATCAGCAAGTTACTTAACGGTTATAAGCATTTATAAGTATGTACTTATATGTACTGTAGTATGTATAAGTGGAAGGCATGCTTCCCGTGATATTAGTAGAGAATATTCTAGCAGCATACGCATCTTGTAGCGACACGAAGACAAAGCCATGTGCTGGCAGTGAGAGCAAAACGGAAAGAAAAAAGAGGCTCGCAAGATTTTTACGTGATACTATTCGCACAGGCTATTTCATGTTATGCAATAAGTATACTTCAAGATGAAAAGTTTTGCAATGACACTGTTATTTTTTTATTCACCCTTACACGGGTCCTTTCACCAATGATCAATTTGAACTAATTAATCATCAAAGATCTTGCACGATTAAATTAAAGTGTCATGCAATTCCGCCGCTCTTTGTTCATCAGAACCAGGAGAAACCAGTGTTGTGATCGTTCTCCATGTCTTGGTGCCGCTTGGACGTGTGGTATGGTTCCGACAAAAATCTACCCTGACCTGTTCCATCTTTGCAACGCTCCCTCAGGTGTCCACAAGCAGCAACAACACAGTAGTCATACTGCGAATTCTCCAGAACCATCGGCCCACCTCATCAAAAACCCTTTGGACACACCCAACTGACAGATGCATAGAAAGCGCTCTTTGCGTCCTAAGCTGCTTAGAGAGAGTGGTCACCTCTGCACTGGTTTGTTGATCAAGCTGCACTGGAAACGAGCCGAGCGGCTGGGATCCATCTTCAGGGACGTTTCAACACCACGCGGCCTACCCGGCATTGCAACCGCATCCATGAGTCAACACTGCATGTGGGACACTATGTAGTTTCCCAGCGCTGTGTCATGCCATATAATCGCATTGTGTTTGGTGTCACGTTTCTCCTTCGCCGTAAAATGCACTGGGCGTGCCTCTTCTCTCTTTCCTAGGTCGAGAAGGAGGCGGTGTTTGACATTCTCTCGGTGGGGGCGGAGATGGAGTGTCCTGGGCTCGGTTGTTTTTTCCTGCAGGGAATCCTGGGTAGACCCAGGCTTTAAAACGCTAATGCCGAGACGCTAAGGAGGGGATGCTACCTTCTTTTACGTAGTATCATGCTACCTTCAAGGTGTAAATTACTGTAAGTAAACATTCCTGTTACCAGCTCTAGCTCCTCTGTTCGTCTACGCCCCGAGACTGATGGCTCTGGTCCCAGACTAATTCCCTTAGTTACAACACCAGGAAGGCACCTTAGGCAGCGCCACTAATAGTGATGCCTACTAAACGCACTGACTAACACTTCAAGGTTTAAACATACACGCATACTTCGCAATGTGAACGGGGGGAGGACAGCCATTGTAGCGCAGTTGGAAGAGCATTGGACGCATTTTTTGAAAGTCAGAAGTTCAGTCCCTGCTAGCAGCATGTTTTCTTTGGGTGCACTTTTCTGTCTTCACATTTACATTAGAATTTCTATCCATAAAATCCCCTATACTTCCCATGGCATCGTTTTCTGTTAGTTCCCATTGACATTGTGTCTAATCAAGAAAAATGAGCGCTTGAATTTCTACTTCTTTCATTCATGCTATGCACAGACACACAAGCTTCTGTGGCAACGAGTGACCTTTAGCTATAGCTTTTAGCTGCGGAAACTATTGACAGTGAGGATACGTCTCCAGAAGAAGCAATATGGGGATATCAGATTCTTCATAACTCAAAACGAAAGTGACAAGGATAGATATGCAGCCTCATTTCAAGAGCCAATCTTTTGAAAACAAGTTGGAGCCAGGACAATGCAAGTCACTTTGTCAAACTACTGACTAGCAGTACAAGCTTTTGCCAATCCTTAATATTGTTTTGTGTTGTATCTGCTTCTATTTTCTTTCATGAACTGATGTGGCATACTGGGTGAGCTGGTTTGGATTCATGGCGAGACTTAGCACATGGAAAACTGCGCAGAGTGGAAAACCACGCCGATTCTCACAGTTTCTTTTTTGTGCAGTTTTGTCACATTGCGCTGGAGTCTCTGCATTCCAGGTGGATAGATTAATTTCTACCATTAAAACCAGTTGGTACAAATACTGCAATAAAAAAAACCCTACATGGATGACAGAATCTCTTCAATAATCATTGCTGGTGAAAATTCATCAATTCCACTCCATTCAATGACAATGACAAATGATAATATGAGGGCTATCATTCAACTTCCTCTGCAACATTAAGCATAATAAAAAGCCATGACTCGATATACTATAAGTAAGAGCATCAAAATAAGCATAATGCTTGGAAAACACTGTAATTTATCAAGTGTGATGAAACACGCTTACAAAGTCAATCAAGTGACAAAATGGTTCAATGTTGAATTGAGGCAAAGAAACACTTGTACAGAGGAGGATGAATAAAGCTAGATCGTAGTAATGAAAGGCAATATAGAAAATGGCGTTCCACAAAAGCTCACATGTATAGAATGCAGATGAAACAACATTAACTAATATGAAATGGCAATGTCGTATCATTCACGAAGCAACACTGCAGGTATGCACCGTTTACACACATGAACAAAAAATAACAAAGGCATAGTGCTTAATGGAAAGTAGCATTAGACAACCCAATAATTGGGTTGCTATTCAAATGCCCAACTTCTATTTGAGAGACATAGAAAAGAAACTAAGTCTGCCTGAGTTGATATAATGATGCTTTTATGTGTTCCTGAAGAATAAAAATTTATATTCGAAATAGAGCTTTGCAAATAGCGAAACTTTGGGTGCAAAGTGAATTCGAATGTAAAAGTGTGAGTGCAAATTGAATCAAATATTTTTCAAATGCTTCAAAGTGAAATGGCAACAAATAAGATTGGAGAGGATTCCTAACCATATTTTTTTGAGATGGAAACATAAAAGTGTTTATTTTCGCTAAGCTGATGAAGTATAGGCAGGCTGGATCTTTATAGTCAACATATCAATAATGAAGAAATGTAGAGACCAAATTTTATATATGAACACGATTTGGTGCAGCCATCAAGTGTTACCGACAACACATCATACGTGAAAGGCAACGGCAGTATTTCCTCAGCCTAGCCTCCTCTTTTAGCTTCTGAGGAAGCCTAACTAATGCGGCACACAAGGGTGTGCTCCCTTCGAGCCTGGAGTTCCAAATCTGCCTTGCAGGCATCAATATATAAGAACATCTAAAATTTTCGATGCTAAAACTCTTTGGTGTCCAAGGTCCAAAACAGCATTAATTAAGCCCCCAGCTCTGCCGCATCTATCATCTTCAATTTGAAACTGGCGTTTTCTTGAGTCAATACATTTGCGATTGAAGCGGAGCTTAAAAGGTAGCTTTGCCGTAACACGACAGTGTAGTGAGGTGAAGCATATTGAAAATCTGACGGGGCCAGTTTTATTTTATTGTTGACTGTATTTGTATTTGGGAAGATTGATCGAATAGCAACCACTGCCAGAAAAATATTTGAAATGTTGAAAATCTGCACACCTCTAATTCAAAGACGTTCGACTATTGTATTGTGAAGATGAAAGACAGCGAAGCTGTGACTATGATGAGTATGGTACCGCGAATATTGCTATTGTGGGTTTATATATTGTCACTACTGATCATATTGAAAGACTAAAGACAACGGACTTAGAGATCCCTGTGTTTCTCCTGCACATGACACATTGATATTTCTCATCAACGGCGGTCTCAAAATGAAATCTTGCAGCACATAGGAAACCCCACAATCTTAAAAGTAGAAAAAATGGCGTGACATTTGTTTTTCATCTGGTGGTTTTGTCTTATACAGTGTGTCCATTTTTTCCATGCATAAATTCTAGATTCATCACGTTAACTGGTTCACTGAAAAGCTTTGTCCCACGCATATTTTGACTACAGACACGAACCCCTAGAACCATGCCATACAAAGCTTCGCTATGAAAAAAAAAAAAAAAAGCGGAGTGAATAGGAGCTTTCTCAGCAGCTGCTCTCTCTGTTTTTAGTGTTGTATACTTCAGCACCATTTGGTAAATGACCCGCGATCACCTCGTTTTCAAACAACCATGTGGACAGCCTCACAGATAACTAGTTTTCTAATTATGGCAGAGTCACACAATAAGCCAAATAATACAGTCACATCTAAACTGGAAAACACTGTTTCAAGTACATGTTCATTTCACTTAAACACATTTTCACTGCAGCATTCATTATACAGTTAATAATGCCCCTCTTGAAAGAGTCACAAGATATAAATATTTAGGTGTATTTGTCACTGCTAATCTGAGGTGCAACAGACACTGCACTCATGTTAGGAACAAGGCAATAGGAGCACTGAGTTTTCTGAAACGTATCTTCAGTAGCTTGCCACAGAAACTCAGAGAGCAGTTGTATTTTACAGATGTCTGCAGCATAGTACTCGACTATGCGTGCGTCTGCTTGGACACCAACACAAAGGAACTCGTTGATAAACATGAGAAAGTGCAGAATAGAGCAGTCCAGTTTGTCACTGGAAATTATGAAAAAATGCTTAGTATGACAAAAAGGAAAAACCTGTTGAATTGGCCTTTTTTTTAACATTGCCTTCAGAACCTCAGATTAAAATTTCTTCATAGCTTATACTATTTCAAAACAGGAATAAGCAGGCAGTTGTATTTTTAACCACCAGGCAATGTTTTCCAAAGACTGGATCATCAGCTTAAAATACACGAGATACCTTTTAAGGGTGACTCCTTCCACTACTCTTTCTTTGTTCGTACTATACGAGACTGGTACACCCTGCCACCTGAAACTGTCTGTATTAATTCAAATGACATTTTTTTTATTGCTTTATGAATGTATTGGTACGTGCTTATCTATATCTAATGCACCCTTCCTGCTGTAATGCCAATTGGCACAACCAGTCAAATGTGCCTTTGCAAAAAGAAAGGCGAGACAGCAGAACTTGCGATCAAAAACATCATTTACGGTGATCGCGATACACATGTTTCCGGAGGCTGTCTTTGAGCTGAAATGTCTGAGGGCACGAAGGACATTTATACGATTGCTCATTTGAGTGAGTAAGCAGGTGATATTGCAGCGAACTTTTTTGTGAGAAGCTGTCAGGGCATATGTGGCACTTGTACGGCCGATCGCCCGTATGAATGCGCAAGTGATTCGTCAGTGTGTCCCTGATTGAGAAGCTCCTGGGGCAATAGTAGCATTGATATGGCCGCTCGCCCGTGTGCGTGCTCAGGTGTTTCTTCAGCGAGCTGTTTACTGAGAAGCTCTTGGCGCATAGATGGCATTTAAATGGTCGCTCGCCTGTATGAACCCTCAGGTGCACCTTCAGGTTAGACGACTGATCCGTTTTGTAGTTACAGACATTACAGTAGTGAAGGCGGCCTTGACGTGGCTTCTCATGACCCGAGGCAGCTGGGATGCTTGAAGACCAAAATGCTGGACAAAAAAAAAAAAAAAAAAACAATACAGGTTACTGAAATACAGCTCTTCATTTCAAAATGAAAAAAAAAAACTGAATTTTGATTCTAATGTATTGCATAACAATCAGACTCCACGGTAATATGTCGTGACACAGTGGGCAAATCTTTATTTAGAACCCCCTAAGCTTCTTAACTGCATGTTAAATTAAAGTACAGCGACGTTGTTGCATTTCACTTCCGTCAAAAAGCAGCCAATGTAGTTCTAATTAGAAAACACCAAAGAAATGACATCTGATATGGTACACCCCTATTGTTAATAGGAAGATATATCTGATAATTTCTAGCCATCTACTGTCCTGATGAAGCTGCCAACTATTTATGCCGTGCACAATATGCAGGGCACTAACAGTAAAGCCAGAGCATGATAACAAAGCGTGCTGTAGTGGGAGGCAATGAAAGCTTGAACCATCTGTGCATTGACACTACACAGCACACAGGCCTATCTAGCATATTAGCTCCATGGTAATGCGACCAGGGCAACAGTCATTGAACCTACATGTTTGGGGTCTGCATACATGCACCAGAACCAATGAACCACACAGGGCGTCTGAATTTATATACAAACATTGGCATACAAGAACCATGACACTGCAGAATGTACGCTATGTTGCAGAACATTACAAAATAGAACAAGCGAAGTAGAAATTGCTCCTAATTATTCATTGTTAAGGCTACAAGTAGGAAAGGAAAAAAATTTTTTGTGTGCAACATGAAATGAAACAATTAAAAAGAAAGCAAAGATTTTAGAACACGTTTTTATCTTTATATAGCTTTATGAATAACAAATATTCCTTGAAATGAATAAAGCGTTAAGCGCTCTTAGCACATAAAGTTTAAATGCTACAAGAGCTTTAAGCACTTAAGGTACTCTTTTGGAGTACCTTAAACAAGAACATTCCATGAAATGAATACAGTAGGGGCTATATGTAGTAAGAGAACTTTATGAGACAGTAGCATTTCTTCCTCAAAGGCGGATGGATATCATGGATATCAATCTGCAATGATGGACTTACACTCCATACTGACGTCATGAAGTGGTAAACACGATAATGCAATGTCCAACAAACGGACGAGACTAGTATTTTGTTAGTCACAAAGGCAACCGGCAGTCGCACATTCGAGCATCTGGGTGGCGCCCAGATGCCTTAAGATGTATCTGACCATCGAGCAAACAAAAACATGACCATTTAAATATTCAGCACAGCACAAAGCACTGAAAGGATGAGTTGCAAAGATGCAAGACAATTTCAAGATACAGCACTGAACCAAACAGAACACCACTGATTCAGCCTAAATGTAAACGGAAGGAGTTCATGACGAAATATGTTCCATCCAAAGTTGACCTCGAGGTCAAGTGAGATCTGGTATATTGCACCTAAGGGGAAGAAGAAACAACATATTAAAGATAGTGAAAATAATTGTACAAATTATCATCAGGCTTGCAAATGCAGGTTTTGATTGTTGTTGCAGCTTGAGCAAGGTATATGATCACAACTAGCTTATACAGAGAAAAGTGAAAAGGTTCAGTTTTTTGCATGGCATATTACAGCAACTTGATGGCCCTATAGGCTCTCGGTGAACAATAGATCTTCATTTTTTTAATAACAGGAACAGGTCTTGAAAAAAAAAAAATAGGTATCACTGTTTCCCAAGCCTTACAAACACGGTAAACTGAAATAGTATATGGAAGCAGTACACTAAAACAATAACAAGCCACTATCAGTGGATTATGTCAGCAAAAGACTTCTTGAGTTGAAATGTCCAAGGGTGAACATTGGTATATCTACTCTAACATACAAACTGGACTATTCTCATCACTTTTCTCGTCAAAAAATTAGATCTACATTCACTTTAGCTGCATAGCTCTCAGGAACCCCCAGGAGTGCTTCGCGACCCCTAAGGAAGAAATGTCCTGTACAATTGGAGAAATGCAAAGCCTGTTTTTCTAGCCCTTTTCGTGAAAAGAAAAAAAAATGACAGACTGCATAACGCACTTCATCAACTGTATGCTACGGTAAGTCACTAAGCAGCAGTTATTTAGAGGCGAAGATGCAAGTAGAACTAAGTTTCATTGACTCAACTCCACTAGTCTTTTTTTTTTTTTTTTCATAATAAATAGCCGAGTGTCATACAGATTTAATTCTTTCTCCGATTATCATGAGTATTAGAAATCAGAAATGCGAAAAGCATCTTATCTTTAGCTTGAAACAGCAAACTAAAAATAAACTTGTAAACTCGAAGTTACTATGCTTATTAATACTCACTGTCATACATATACCACTGACGAAAATATAAATGCCATCAGGACGTTGCCGAGAAGGTGGTTGTTGAAATTTACTTACTTGAGTACCTCGACCTACTGAGTATGTAAAGTGAGTACCTCACAATATTCACCCAGTTAATTTTATTTCTTTTCCAGGCATTCTGCAGCATTATTTACATAGTTTCCAGAAATGGACAAGATGTATAGACATTATGCAATGCACACATTCAGCAGTTCAAAGGCAGTAAAGGCTGCTACAAGAAATGCAACGATAATGGCCGCAGGTGCTACAGCTCACAGGCCCTCTTCATAGCCAGCACTGGTCTCACAGGACAGGTTGGTGTCATCTCTGAGAAGAAAGCAGGCTCCAGTGGCTCTGAGTGCTCTCCTAGATCTTGGTGAAGTGACAGAGATGAGTGAGCTTGCCAAGCCTGTTCCCAGAGGTCTTCTACTGAGCTATCACTATATCTTCGGTAGAGCCTGAAAACATCATCTACAGACCATTTCCAAAAAAAAAAAAAAATTAACTTCAAGCACAGGTGCATTGAGCCTGTGAACTGCTTTGTTTTGCCTCCTCAATCAGTCGGTGTCTATCTGAATTAGGCGATAGTTGCCAAAGTCGTCACTTAAATGATAATCGTAATTGCTGGGGTTTTATGCTTTAAAACCAGTACATGACTGAGAAATGCCGTTGTGAAGGGCCTCGGAAGATTTTACCACATGGGGTTCTTCAACGTGCACCTAATTTAAGCATGATGTCTGAACAGCCCGACTAGACACAAAGAAAAAGGGCACATACATACACAGCGCCCAAGCTGACTCGGGATGTTAGGAAGCCAGTCACTGTCAGGGCTTATTATTATTAACGGGACTTATTGATATGTACTAGTGATTCAGTCCTACTTCTGACACAGGAAAACAGAAAAATGCTTCTCTTCACTTGCTTGCGTATCTAGTGATTCACGTGCATATGAAAACAAACATTTCCAGTTGAAAATCAGCGTTGCATATGTGTGTACATTTAGTTTACATATGCGTCCATCCGCCCTGCTCAAACATTGTTATTATCAACCAACTAGCCAATTTCAATCTAAGCGTAGGGCACCTACTACACCACAAATAAAATTTTTGTGAAGTAGTGAAGCGCTCACTTCACCTTGATTTGTCATGCAGCACATTAGCGAGGTACTCGCTACACATCTGTAAGACATTATGTGCACTTTGTTGATGTGGAAGCTGATGACCATGAATAGTTACGGCTGAGCCCATTGTAATGGATTGGGAGTTTTCAACAAACCACCGTTTACGCGGTGGCTTTTCTCCGATTTTCTCATGTAGGGTAGCAAACCGGGTACAACCCAGGTACACTCCCTGCCTTTTTTTTTTGCCTCCCTTTCCTCTCCTCTTAACGCAATGCCTTGGCAACACTTGCGAGCTACTCATTGCACCCTACATAAATCATCACAATTTTTTTTTAAATAGGGAGGCATCCATTATGCCACTATTTACCAATAGGGAGAAGTGTGGTGCCCACGGCACACCTGTAAGGCACTTTGTTGATGTGGTGGATGATGACGAAGCAATAAGATGAAGGCTTTAGTAATGGACTCGAAGCATTCAACGACCCCCCTCGTTATACAATTTGCATTGTGTGATGCCTGGTTGTGATTTTACTTATTTTGTTTTTCTTATTTTGCATGATGGTGGTTAGGGACACTGGTCAAAGTGGCAGGAAACTAAGGCACCAAAACTGCGGTTGTGATCTTATAAGAGCTTTAGCAGTAAAATAAAAACATATGTAAAGGAATGAAGTGGGCATGTGCTACAAACGATAGAGTGCACATTAAGGTATGTGACACATTCATACACAAATAAATGCAATGATATTAATGTGTTACTTTGGACACTCATTTGTTACATATGAAGTGACGTAGCATATCCACTTGAGTTCGCACAAAAAAATGTGCACACACAGTGCCACAATGTGTAGTATGATTTTTCTTGAAGTTGATAATCCTTGAGGGCATCAGTAACTCTTAGGTTGAGAGGATTTATGTTTGAATGCAGCAGGTGTGTGCGACGTTCTGCTGCAATCGGACCAGTGGTTTTACAGAAATGGCACAGTAAATCATAAAGAGTAAGGATGCAATTACAAGCACGAGAAAAATTAATTTTGACATTTCAACAAATATAATTTCTAGCCTTCTTGCTGGTGTCTCCAAGACCATCCATACAGATCCTACCGCCTTTCCTTGCACTCGGCAGAGTCCACGGGTGTAGCCAGAAACTTTTGTCCAGGGATTCGACCAACCTGAAGGTATGTTCACAAGTGTACTTGTAAGTGGCCATGTGTATATATACATGCAAGAGTGAAAACTTCTAAAATAAAGAGTTGGATCCCCCTCACTCTGTCTTCACCTGTGGCAGTGACAGAACTGCCGCTTTGCAAAAATGCAACTGGGCATAAAAGAGCAAATATATTCACCAACCAAGAGGCCCGCACAACAGACCAGCAGAATACTTTTTTTTTTTCATTGAACACACCCCTGCTCTTTCTTTTTTTTTTTTTTCTATTCCCCTCACCCCGACAATCCCGGAGTAATTTTCGAGAAGGTCTTGCGGTGTAGGCAGCCTTCGCTGCAGAATGTGGAGGGGTGAATGTGCGGTTTCAAACAGCCGCCTTATCCTTATGTCTCATTTTACTTATCACTTTTGCGCCATGAGTGCGTTTTCTATATACGAAGTAGGCCGGTACTTACAAACTAATCTTGAATATTTTACCCTCGTTGGAAAATACCCTTGTAACGCATGCAAAGTGCATGCCGTAGAGAAATTTAAGGGGGAAATAAACGAGACAAGGATAAGGCTGGTTTGCCAATGCGGGCCTTCGAGCGGTTATAGTAGTTTTTCGAGCGAGAGTTCTAGGTTGGAAAATATTCTTGCTAGAAAGTAACCTTACACACACGTTACAAATTGTCAGTTCCGTCGATCCTGTCAGGCTGTCGACAAGATGCCTTTATGGACATTACCACAAATCACGTAAACCTGGAAAACTCCCAGGAACATCTAGCCTTTTGCCCAGAATTACCGTTACTGCAGCTTTCGTGACATAAGTTATTATTTAGCTTCGCTGCCCGCAGGGCGCCTTCATGTTTCGAGTACGTTGACTTGATTGTCACTCGCGACAGATGCGTTTATGAAAGCCGTCAACTCACGTCGCTCAACGATAGCTTTTTCCAAAATTACTTTCCTCTTATTGCACTCTTTACACCCAACCGAATCTTTGAAGAGCAGCAGGAGAAGCTCGGATATAATTAGATGGTCGTACTGTGCATCGAGCTGCCTACATCGAAAGGTTCCCGCCCGATCCTCGCCAAGTCTTTCGTGCCGCTTTCTCACGGCTCTTCTTGATGGTAAACCGATTACCTCTGAAAGCTCTTTTTTGGTCCATTTGCTGGAGCCCGCCAACAACTGTACTGATGCGGAGTCAGAGAACACCTACCACTTGCAGCTCAGTGCAGCCAAACAGCAAAAATGAAGCAATTTACGTGAGTGTCACTACCAGCACTTCAGAAACACTTTTCGGGAATAAAAAATACAGTACATATTGTTTACAAGTCACGTAATGAAACACACAGAAAAAGAAACAATGTTAACCACCAGGGCACAATGCTACTTGGCGCGAAATTTAAAGCAAATGAATCATGGTCAAACAGGAGTGGCCAACTTTGCGTTGCCCCGCTCCTTCAGATCCTCA